TGATTAGGTATACTTATCTCACCTCTTGGTCTATATAGTATATACCAGTCATCTATCACCCAATAATATGCTTAATCCAGTAGGAAATGCTATTCTGCATGAGGTGATACACCAAGTGTACAAATCATTTCACAAGATTGTTTCACAGTAGAAGTTAGACTAGAGTTGAGGCTTAACTCTAGTTAACTCTTCCTAAATGCAACAAAAAGGAGTTGGGGTGCAGGGGCTCAAATGTGATATTAGTTTTTCTTAAAATAAAATATCGAATGCAAACAACTTCCTACTTCTAGAAGAGTCTGAAGTTACAGATCTTAAAATTAGCCTAAGTCTCGAGATAACATAAGCTCTCATCTTTGAAAGCTTTTATCTACAGTCAACTGCATTTTGATAGAAAATGCTTAGCTGATGGTATTCTAAGCATTGTTGGGGTTGGCCTACTCAATTTGAGATGCAACATCTAAAATTCTAATTTCTCATTAGCGTGTTCGAAGGTGTAAATCCCATAAATAATTGTAGGTGACATAGAATTTAAGGGTGCATACCCCAACAAATGACTGCAGGAGTCTAACGCTTTGACCTCACTTCCATACTTGAAGGTGTTGATACATCAGAATAACTATAAAGTCCTGGAATTTAAGGGCTTGATCCCCGCGCACTGAAATATGAAGTCTGCGAGTAAGAATGTCAGCTTGCTAAGCCTACCAGTACCCGTCAAGAATGACATAGTCAATTTCCACCAGGATGAGCTTTAAGTGTGAATGACCTACAAAGAGTACCACTACACTCAAGGCCAATTCCAAAAAGCAATAAAATTTCTGAAGAATGTAGTTGCAGTTTGACCGAATGCCAAATTATATGAGCATTAGAAGGTCCAGAATGTGACATTGCCCTAAAGGAGAAATACAGTACACGAGTGATAAGGCAGGCAAAAAGGTTTTTGCACTTTTCAGGATGAGAGGTGTAATTTATACATAACGAGAGGTCCATCGGATGTTGCTGGCATCAGGTTGAGACCTTGGTATCAGCAGCACCAAAGGGCTAGAGGTTGTTTTACAAAAGAATAAACTCTGGATACCGTGGCGACAACAAGTTGTGCATCCAATACTAGCTTTAGCTGGTCTAAGAATCAAAGTATACCCTGAGGTTGAGCTTGCATGATAGAAGCACCGAAGGTATTAAAGGGCTACAAACACTGAAGATGTAGACAATGCTTTCAGGGGCAAGAATTGTGCATTTTCAGCAGGGAAGTTAAGGTGGGAGCTCATGTCCCATCAAGAGCCCTCCAAAAAAATCCCTGAAAAATATGGGACGTTATTTTGCACAAATTAGTTTTCTTAGAGAAACACCAAGATTGCTACTGAGGCCCTACACCACTCCTAATATTTCTCTGTGTTTAGCAGGAGTTTGGTGGAGATAGACCTTAGTTCCAACCTAACTCCTGTTGCCAAATACAACCTAAAATTCTACGAGCTTATCATTTTTTTTAAAGAATGAAACCAGAGTGAAGCATGGAAACCAAAGTTAACACGTGACCAAAAACCTTCGGCAAATATGTATAACAGGAAGGTGCGGGGATGACCACTGACTCTAGTAAAATCTAGTGCAGTTCGTTGGGAATCATCCTGACAGTAAGCACGAAATCACAGGAAACAATTTCCTTATCAGTATCCAATTCCACGAAATCAAGGTAACTCTTTGGACTCCCTATCAGTTCAATTATGAATTAGTTCCTGAGGTGAGCCACAGTGTCGTTCATCGCCAAACACCATTCCAAGGAATTCAATTAGTTCATCTAATTTTGATTCCGTCCGTTGGAGGGTGAAGGCAAAATGCTATTTAAACTTCGTTGCTAGACGACTTTAGCCAATTGATCAACATCTTTAAATCATAGATTCATCGGTTGTAATATTAGTACAAATTGATTGATAGAGTTTGACGACTCGCCTCTCTCGCAAGTTCTACTGCTTGCAAGTAATGCGGATGGTCAGTCTTCACTCTCGAAGAGCCTAGATAGACAACCCCCCTCCCAAGATTGTTTATGAGTTCGTAGCATCTTTTAATCTCTTTCCTCACCTGCAACAGTTGAAGTCCTAAATTGATCAAAAGCTCATACGAAACAAGAGTGGCCCTCAACACCACCTAAGTCATCCATTCTTGAAAACAAAAATAAATGAACTTGTACCTCATCTGGACTGGTTCT